TACCTGGGGCGGGGCTGCACGCTGGGGGCGGGACGATGGGCTGCATGTGGGAGGCAAGGTAAGGGGCGGTTGGCAGGTCTGGGGGACCTTCTTCAACAGGGAACTATGTTAAGAGACTCCCCGGTCGGACACAACATCACGTCACAGTCTTCCTTCGTGTTCTCTGCAGGTCGCGGCCATCAACCCCAACCACCCTCTGGCCCAGATGCCCTTGCCCCCGTCCATGAAGAACTGCATCCAGCTGGCCGCCTGCGAGGCCAGCGAGCTCCTGCCCATGATCCCTGACCTCCCGGCCGACCTGTTCACCTCCTGCCTCACCACCCCCATCAAAATCGCCCTGCGCTGGTAAGTGGGCTCCGCTCGCCTCTGCCGCACCCTCCCCCGCCAACCGAGGCTCACGAGGGCCAATGTTTTCTGATTTTTTTCATTTTTGCCTCCATCTTTCTAATGACCAGAAAGTGAAACCTTGAGTAATTCTGAAACGAGCAAATGCCTTGCTCTTCCCATAACTGGTCCCCTCACCCCCCACGAATATCAATGTAGTGTGAGAACCCACAGTACATCTTCCCTTTGTTTTTTTCTTGGTCTTCGGTTGAGTGGCAGAATTCCATTTTAAATGCACATGGAGCACTTGTGCTTCCGAAGGTAACCTGGTCCCCAGCATGAGGGGCGCCGTGGCCGGGTGACGCCTCTCGGCCCGCAGCACACAATCGCGTTGTCTGCCAGGCACACGATGGATGATGGATGGACCACGGTGGGAAACTTCCCATTACCCTGAGGAATTTGAAAGAGTTTAAATATTCATGGCCCATGTTGCCGTATCCTATCAGCACAGAAAATTGCTCCTGGGTTCACCCAGCGAGAGGTGGCAGCGTGCAGACCCCGCAGGGCAGGGGCGCGGGCCCTGCCAGCGTGGTGTCGTGTGGTCTCATCTCAAACCCTCGCCCCGACGTTTGCCTTGTGGGTTTTCTTGATGCCTCACCGAGAATCAGAATGACCTTGGGACATGAATCCCCGTGGCTTCTCGGTGGGGCTAATGGTTTGTACTCCAGCGTTTCCTGAAAGGCAGTGTCTGTGGGAGGACACGCTCTGTGCACCCCCTCCTTCGCCCCCACTCTGCGCTGTGAACCCTCCTGCCTCGGCCCTGCCGTGTCTGAGGACAGAGAGGTCTGGGCCTCGGCCGGGAGCGGTGCAGACAGAGGACAAAGTTGTCCTAGGTTTTCCCTGTGGTGACGTCATAGCTTGGGCTCGGCCGCAGGAGCGATGGGGCTAACAGGGAAATGGTTTTCTCTGGAGGTCTCCACAGGGTGGCCCACGTGGCCTGGCCCTTCTGCTGAGCCCCAAGATGGCTTCCGGTGACTTCAGTCTGTCGGGTTCTGTACCCTGCCCACGCCCGCCTTGAGGAAAGTCGTTTTTCTCCCAAACCAGACGGTGTCCCGTCTCCCGACACGCACTCAGTTAGGATGAATGGCGTGTCGTGTCGCAGAGCTCCTTCGGAAAGTGGGCGTGCAAACCTGACTCATGGCAGCAGGCGGCCCGGGCGCCACCGGGAGCGCAGGGTTGATGTTCCTGCGGGGAATCCCCCAACAACAACGTCAGAAACCCAGGGAACCTTGGGGAGGGCTGTAGCCACTGCGGAGGGGGTAGCAAGGGAGACGGGGGAGGGGGAGGGCCCGAGGGGGAGGGCAGGCCTAGGGCACAGCGCAGGAGGAAGGGCAGAGGGAAGGAGAGAAAGAGGGTCCTTTATGGGACAGCAGAAGCACCACCCACAGGCACACACGTGTGCAAATACACACTAACACATACAGAGGCACACAAGTGGACAAATCCACGGACACACAAATAGAGGGAGACACACACAGCGGCTCTCACACACACACACACACACACTGCAGATGGGTTCAGAATGAAGCATCGGCAGGGAGCCTGCAGCACAGCGAGAACAATTAGCTCCGCGCCGGAGTCGTTCCAGAGGCGCGACGACGTCCTATTAGGCTGCCTATTAATGTAATTCATCATCGTAATAGGAGGACGGAGGACAGTTATTTGATAAAATTGAAAATGAATTTTAATAAAAACCTACAAGAATAGAAGCAAACTCCCTTTGCAAGAGGGAGGTTTTCTCTAGGCCGCAGCCCCCCCCCCGGCCAAGCCTCCCTGCGCCCTGAATGCAGTGGGAGCTGCACCAGGGTGTTGGCCAACTTGGATCAGTCCCCCGGCTCCTGGGAAGCGTAGTCAGTCCAGCAGCTGGATGAGCAGCGGGACGAAAGGTGCACATGTTCTAAGAGAAGGCAGATGTGCGGTGTTTATGCATGATCTGGATTTCAACTTCGCAAAAAAGCCAATAAAATGCGTTGGAAAACTGTTAGCAGAAACATGAGTGTTCAGCACAGTGGCCTTTGGGCCGTGAACCGAATGTGCAGGCCCACATGGCAGTTAAGGGGCTGCCTCCAGAGGGTGGGGGGTGGGGGGGGGCGTCCCCGGCGAGGAGCTGAGAGACATGCAGAAGCTAAGGAAGGCATTACTCAACACTGAGGATTTGGGGCACATGGCTAACCATTAGAAACCTAAAACCCTACCTCGTACCTCAATGAGAGAAATTCCAAATATACCAAAGACTTAGGTGCCAATGAGAAAATGCCCAGGGAGTGGGCCAGGGGGAACGGGGCCTGAGAGCCGGGGCACCAGGAGCCACCCCCTCTCAGCAGGTGCGATGACTTACCCAGCACTTCCTCTCAACAAGGCTTGCTCTGGGCACCAGGCCGAGAACCGATGGGAGAGGGGCAGGGAGGGCAGCAAGCTTGGGCACCGACTGTCTGGAAGACATGAGATGCCGGGGCTTGGCCCAGGGCTGTGGCTCTCCCCGTGAGGACATTCAGGGGGCGGCGGCATCTTCCCGTCGAGCGTCCGCCGCGTGTGACCGATGCTCTGCTCTCTCCCGCAGGTTCTGCATGCAGAAGTGCGTCAGCCTGGTGCCCGGAGTCACGCTGGACCTGATCGAGAAGTGAGTGAGGCGGCAGTGCCGGGCTGGTCGGGTCTCCCTTCCCTCTCAGGCACTTCCTGCGCGTGCGTCCTGCTCTCCGGTTGAGGCTGCGTGTGGATGGCACCTCAGCGCCAGCCTAGGACACGCTCAGCGGGGCCACTTTAAAGAAAGAGAATAAAAAGCCAATTCCTTTTGATCGGTTAAAAATCCTCCAACGCTGAGAGAGGTACACTACACGTGCAACCCATCTGCTCCCTGCGGCACCAGTTCAGAGCCGGGGTCGGCCGGCCCCCCACTCCC